AAAACAACCCAAGCCTTTTGTAAACTAGCTGGCACGTTAATGGAGACTTGAGCAAGTCGTCATAAGTTGTACTATTGTATTATTTCATTGGTGTGTCATATTTTTCTTTGATGGCATCCTAGGCGTGCTTTATTTTTCTTAGTTGTACAATCTTTAGTTTCGATGGATAAAACTACAAGACTTTGTGGGATCATAAATTTTAGATTTATAATTTTACTTTTTATTAATAAATTAAAAAAATATCTTTTTTGTTGGTGTATAATTTCATTTAAATGATTTTAAATTCTTGGAATCACATTTGTGTACTTTGAAACTAGCATTTTCCATGATATTATTTTAATTTAATGATTTAAAATCGACATTCGATATCATTTTATCGTTGAGACGCCATTCCAGTGACCTAACTATGAAAATTAGCAACTAATGATCCAAAATAAGTTCGTAAAAGAAAAAAAAATTGTGGTTTCATCCAAGAAAGATTTATAAATTTGTCATGCTTTGGAAATTAAATCTTTATGATATGATTAAAAAGTATTTACGAAATATTTATATAGAGTTTATAAGTGAAACTAAATATTTGCAAAGGTCAAAATGCAAAAAGTAATTGGAGCCGAGCCAAATTAGAAAAAAAGGAGCGGCTGAAAAAAAAGGAAGAAGCCAAAATATCATGAATATTATGAATCTATGATAATGGAATAATAATAGAGATAAAATAATATGTTTGAGACAGAGGAGAGTGGAGTTCACGTGGGACTACAATTTCATAAACTAACTTTTCTTCTTTTCCATTAAAAGCAATTTCGTTTAGCAGGACTTCACGTGGACCATCCATGTCATGCTCCCACGCACGTGGCCTTCCATATCTTTGTCTCCTCTTTCTCTCTCCCTACTCTCTCTCTCTCTCTCTCTCTCTCTCTCTCTCTCCAAATACTTCTTTTACATTTCACTTATTATTATTATTATTATTATTATTATTATTATTATTATTATTATTATTATTATTATTATTATTATTATTATTATTATTATTTTTCGTGGAATATTAAGTTCTACATTGATGTAACATCAAATTACGGTTGCATTATTCTTATTTACTCCATACTTTCCCATTTTATTTATCTATGGCAAATTACGGCCACCCCTGATGTATGGTCAAATTACAAAAAAAACCCCCTTGTTTGGATAATTACTGCCACCCCCCCCCCCCGCCCTTTTAAATATTTTTACGTAAAATTTATGTAATTCGGTTATTTACCGAACCAAATCGTATATTTAGTTCGGTAAACGGTATGAAATGTTGGCGTACCGAAATTTTGGTTCGGTTTTACTGAATTAACATCCATAAATTTACCTCTGGATGGGTCTTTTCGTAAGATAAATACATAGTTGAGGGGGTGGCTGTAATTACCCTAACAGGAGGAGAGTTTTCGTAATTTAACCATAGCTCAGGAGGTGGCCGTAATTTGCCCTTTATCTTTTTTAGAGATATTTTTTTATTTCAAAATAATTATCACTTTAGGATTCTAATTAAATATTTATTGTATTTTTCTCAATTATGCCTTTACTATTCTTAATAGAATTATTAGTAAAACATTTATAAAAGTGATTTTTTAGTCATTTTATTATATTTTTTCTAGAATCCATGCACATTTATTAATTTTTTTAATATATGTGAATTAGCCTAAACCCACAATTAAAATGTGAAGAAGGGAGTATCTAATCAAACATCACAATATATTAATTTATATTGGTTTAATACATAGTGCATTTCTAGTTATTACTAGGCAATAAATGATTCAATTGTTATTTTTCTTCTTCATGAAATTTCATCTATTTTATTTTATTATCATACTCAGTGGTAGAGTCAGAATTTTACATTCGTGAAAAGTCGAGAGCGCATCAAAAAGTTTCTAAAGGGTGGCTATTAATGCTATTTTCACAAAAAAATTATATTTCTAAATTATTAGAGATTTTGAAAATATTGGCTGACCATGACCCTCCTTGCTCCTATGCTGGCTCGGGCAACTGAACATAATAATTACTTTTGTTGTAATTCTATCATATCAACAAAAAATTATTCATGTCATTATTTTTTTAATAACTTTGAAAAAAAAGGATGTGACTCTACCATAATAAATTTCATCATCTTTATTTCATTATTTTATCATCATTCAACGATTCATATTTATTTTACAGATTAATATGTATTATTTTGTCAATTATTTAATCTTAGTTTTATTAATATATAGAGATTATATAT